AAACAGAAACGGGAGGAAAAGACGGCCGAGAGAGACAGTAGCGGGAGTAGAGTAGCGGGCCTTAATCGCAGTGAGGTACGCAGCAGCGGTGCGAACCTGAGTAAAGTGGACCTCCTCGGACTCAGGGAGGAGGCTGCTGAGTGCGATGCAGGCCGCAGCGTCACGCGACGTCCAAGCCGTCCGGTCAGCGCGCTGACGGGCAAAGCGAGCCGTAGCAGCGTCGTCAGGAGCAGGGCCTAAAGCGGTAGGCTCGGGGGGCTCGGGGAGGTCACCAGTAGCGTGTGACCAGAGGGTCTCGCCCCCCTGGACCTGACTCTCTAACAGACGACGAGCGCGAAGAAGCAAGACGGAAAAGTCAAGGGGTCTACCGTCAGCGTCGAAACGAAGAACTCGCGGAGTCGCCATAGTGAGAACCAACGCGAACGAACAGGCGAGTAACAACCGGGGGGGAAGAGGACTCAGTCGCAGCGGAAGAGCGGGCTAGGGCGACGGGCCAAAACGTAGGGTAGGGCAACGGGCCAGGGCCTAGGGTAGGGCGACGGGCCAGAGCCTAGGGAGGGCGACGGGCCAGGGCCTAGGGAGGGCGACGGGCTAGGGCCTAGGGAGGGCGACGCGACGGGGGAAAGGGCGGGAGCGACGCGACGGGGCAGGGCGACGCGACGGGACAGGGCGACGCGACGGGGCAGGGCGGCGCGACGGAGCAGGGCGACGGGACAGGGCAGGGCGACGCGACGGGGTAGGGCGACGCGACGGGACAGGGCGACGGGACGGGACGGGACGGGACAGGGCGACGCGACGGGACGGGACAGGGTGACGCGACGGGACAGGGCGACGCGACGGGACGGGACAGGGTGACGCGACGGGACAGGGCGACGCGACGGGACGGGACAGGGCGACGCGACGGGACAGGGCGACGGTACGGGACAGGGCGACGCGACGGGACAGGGCGACGGGACAGGGCAGGGCGACGCGACGGGACAGGGGGGAACAGGCGGGCGCGACGCGACGGGGGGAACGGGCGCGACGCGACGGGGGGAACGGGCGCGACGCGACGGGGGGAACGGGCACGACGCGACGGGGGGAACGGGCGCGACGCGACGGGGGAGATGATGCTAGGCTCGGTACTAGGCGCGGTAACAACTAAACTGGTACGAACGAGAGGTAGGATCAGGCTCGGGAGGTACGAACGGAGAACGGAGGAACGGGATCCCACAGGATCCTAACCTAGCTGATACCATGTCAGAATGAGGAATGGATGTTGCATTGATGTTGGTTGGGGTACATATGACAAACCCTAACTTCTGTACCCCCTAAGACAAACCTCACTACAGGCTACAACATTTGACACACATTCACTGTGTTGTGCAGGTACGGCTTCCGTGAAATTACCGAAGCGATCGTCACCAACCTGAGGCAGCAGCAGATGCGCCACATCCAGGCGTCTCCGTTCTTAGGAATTCAACTCGACGAGAGTACCGACCGGCGCAGAGGCAAGCACATGATAGTCTATCTTAGCTTCATTCGCGACGCCGAGGTCGTCACCGAGCTGTTTGGGCACCTGACAGTCGAGAAGTGCGACGCGTCGTCTCTGCTGACAGTACTTCTCGCCCATTTGGCCATGACGGGCGTCGACATCATGAAACTGACGGGCATCAGTACGGATGGCGCGAGCGTGATGCGGGGTTCACAGGCTGGAGTGGCGACCCAGCTGAAACTGCGAGTCCCACACCTGGTGACGTGCCACTGCATCGCTCACAGGTGCGATGACAAAATCTCTCTAGCGGTGGTGTATGATCTTGTTGTCAGACGTTTTTCAGTGTTCTAACCGCTTCTTTTTGCACACTTGCAGGGAGGCTCTCGCCGCGAAGGACGCGGCGGAGGCGGTGCCCGACCTCAGCATGGTCGACACGGTCGTGCGGAGCATCGCAGAGAACTTGGGGAGGAGCATCGTCTTGCACTCCCGGTTCATGGAGCTACAACACATCCTGCACGAGACGTCTCTGGAGGTGCAGGGTTTTAAAGACGTTCGATGGCTGGCGCGTGGCGATGCGATTCGGAGGCTCGTGGAAGTCCTACCGGCGGCGATAGTGGTGTTGTGGGAGCAAGACAAGAAGGCCTACAAGACAGTCTCGAGTTTCAAGTTCCACTTCTTCCTGTTTTTCCTGGCAGATGTGCTGAAACTGCTCAACGAGCTGAACCTCAAGTTTCAACGGCGCATGGTGAGCAGTAGAGAGGTCCGTGCTGATGTTCATGCACTCGAACGTGTCTGACGTTGGCTTCTTGCCGTGTGCAGGTGGACATCACCCGGGTGGCATCAATGGTCCACAACACGTGCGACAAGCTAAAGCAGCGATACATCGAGCACGGCGTCAACTACGCTGAGGATAGCGAGTTGCTCACCGAGTTCATGGAGAAGCACGGAGCGTTGGACAAGCGGGAGGTGACGGTCGAAGGCATGGATGGGGAGGGAAGTCCCGTTAAACACACTTTCATGCTGCACGAGGACGCCATCAAGGGACAGAAGTCAAAAGGCGACATAGAATCATGCATCACTGTAACCCGCCTGTTTGCGCAGGAAGTTGTGAAGCACCTCCTGAAGCGGATGGAGAGCCTAGACACCCTCACCGGAGCGAAGCTTTTCCTGCCTGACGCGTACCCCGAGGGAAGCGCGAAGAGAGACCGCCTCTGCCAAGCCTGGTTCCAGTCTCTCCGCACGCTGTTCAGTGCGGAGAAGTGCGTACTTCCAGGTAATCTGTGCGTCTCTTTTGTGCATCAATGTTACACGCTTGGTGATATGGTACCGCCACTGACTTATCTCCCCGTTGGCCCCCGCCCCTCTTGTACTTGCAATTGTGCGTGAGCAGGAGTGAGCTGGAAAAAGGCGGGACGAGAACTGGTGCCGTTTACCAAGATGATGGCCTCGCAGTACAAGGACCAGACCTTCCACGCCGGCCTCAAGCACATGTTGCGCAGCGACGACTGGGAGACGAGCTACCCCAACATGGTCCGCATCTGGATCGCCCTCGCTGTGCTGCCGCTGAGCACCGTCGAGTGCGAGCGCGGCTTCTCGAGGCAAAACATCATCAAATCGTGGCTCCGCGGGAATCTGTGCAACACACGCCTGGCGGACCTGATGTCGGTATCGCTCCTGCAGTACGAGCCGAACTGGGAGGACGTGGTGGCTGCTTGGAGGGGGGCAAAGAAGAGGCGCCCTGCTAAGGAAGTGACGACCAAGAAGAACACTCCAGAGAGAGCCCCAAAGCGGAAGGCCGAGAGAGGAACGTCAGCTGCTGCCTCCAATGAAGACGAAGATGATGAGGAGGACGTGGTCAGGCGGAGGACCTCTAAGAAGGGCAAAGCACGTGCAGCTGTAGTAGTGTCGCACGACAGTGATGATGACAATTGGCTTGATGTCCGCGCCACGATAGTAGAGTCTGACACTGAGTAGACTAGACTAGAGTAGATGTAATTTGTAGTGTAATAACACCTCACCAGTAGTTACATAATTTTTTATTTGATAGTTCTTTTACCGTAGTATTGATGAAGCTTTAACTTCTGCCAGAGTTGATGCAATGCAACCCAAAAAAAAAAAAAAAAAACTGACAAGCCAGTGCTTTAAGATCTGACAGATTAGACAGAGATTTTGGAAAATCCTGATCCACCAGACAGGGCATCACTCAGCCCACTGATGAAGCAGACGGGCCCGAAGGGCCCGTCTGCTCCATCAGGCTGCCTCAGATCCTAGCGACGTCCCTGATCAACGAGTTTGGCAGGTGAGGAGTGGGTTTAACCTGTATGCTGAGGGTGACACTGCATGCAGTGGAATGGCATCCCGGACGGCTGGGTCTGGCTGCACTACCTCTCGCCCATGAAGTATGCTTATGAAGCGCTGACGATCAACCAAGTTTGGCAGGTGAGAAATCGGCACCCTTTTGCTGGGGACATGAGTATGGGTGGAATGATGTGGGCATCACTTCTCGCCATCTCCCACTTCTTCACTATCTTTCCCCACCATCTCCCACTCCCCACCATCTTTCCCCACCGTCTCCCACTCCTCAGCACCAATCCCCAATCTCCATTTCTCTCCTGAATCATCACCCCACCAGGCCCGGAGGACCCTGTTACTTGGAAGCTGGCACAATGTTTGATAATACACCCGTGGCGCCGTATTTAAATGCAACCAGAATCAATAAGGCCATGGTGGGGATGCGGCAGGTGCTGGCTGGTACTCCTTATAGCAAAATCACTACAAGCACATGTTTGCGGGACGGGCCTCAGCTGCTAACGACTACACTGGCTCTGAATCAGCTCGACATGTGGGAGAATGTTGCGGTGCTGCTGGGTTTTGGGGTGTTTGTACGGTTGGTTACGTTTCTGCTTCTGGTGAGGTTCAGTAAAGCTAAGCAGCAGTGAGAGGCTGATGTGTTAATCTCTCTATGCCATTGAAACATTAACATGATTATTTTATCATATGTTTGCGTCCAAGTGGAACATTGGAGCATTCTGCCGCTTGGAATACCAGAATGTGAACAAGCTATTGTATTAAGCGAAATTTCATTTTAGTCCCACTTTAACACTGCCACTCAACAAAAAAACACACAAGTGGTTGTCTTGGGTCGACTCTAGAGGACAATAACGAAGCGTCCATAACCGAGTTTCTCAAAAAGTCGACCGAAGACCCCACGTGATCAAACCCCCCGCATCCCCTCCCCCTGCGACCCCCCCCCACCCCCCCCACCTCCTACTCTTCCCCCCTCCCCTCTAAACCCCACCCCAATTCCCCCCCTCACCCAACGCCGCATTCCCCTGACATGCTAGCTTCACTCCTCTCCGTGATCCACGCTTGAATCAAATCCGCCCCCACATTTCAGCTGAGTTCATAGCATCACTCTAATAGCCACCACCACGGCCACCACCACGGCCACCACGGCCACCAGCGCCACCAGGACCATCGCTGTCACCGTCAGGCCCGTTGCCACCACGCCGGCCACGACCGCCACACTTGCCGAAGTTCCCAGTGAGCGCGGCGCTCCAGGAGTTGCCGGTCGTGCTGTCGGTAAAAATGACAGCGTACGGCGAATCAGTCGTGGTGTCGGTGGTCCCGATGAACGTCGCGAACAGCGCCTTGGTCTTCGCGCCCATCCACGCGAGGCGCTGGCGCTGGCGCTTCAGGAACTGCTGCGTCAGCTTCCCCGCGCTGTTCCCCGCGAGCTCGCGCCCGCGGCGGCGTCCGCCGAAGGCGTTCTGGAAGCCCTGCTTCGCGCCGTTGATCACCTTGGTGAACACGTTCTGCGTCACCGTCGCGTTCGGCACGCCCGCGAGAAGCGCCTCGACGACCGTCGCGTCGGCGCCTTCCACGGTGCCCGTCACGCGCAGCTCCGTGTGCGAGCCGCCGCGCCCGCCGCGCGTCTGTGTGGTCCAGCCGGTGGACGGCAGAGTGAGGGCGGCGGTGGCGGTGGAGTCACACGCCGCGCCTTGCACGATGTTGATCGTGTCGGGCGCGGTTCCGCTGTACTCGTCAAGATCCGCGTCGAAATAGAGGTTGTAGACGGGCGTGCCCGACGACTCGTCCTTAAAGACGGCGAGCAGGAACTTGCCGCGAGTCGCTCCGATGTCCGTCGTGCAGTTAGAGACCCAGGCGCCCACGCGACCTGCGGATGGTACGAAGGGGCGAGGGAGGGGGAAGAAGGGGGGCGGTGGGGGAAGAAGGGGAGGGGGGAGTGGGGGTTCCGGGGAGGGGCGGAAAGAGACCAGCGCACGTTTGGCATCCAATAGTGAACGGAAATTCCAGAAAAAAATGTATTCGGGATCGCATTGTGACGGGATGAACGAATCTGGCGGACTGAACCGTGCTAGATGGTGCACTCGTCGCACCTGTGAGATTTCCGGTGACGGACGCGTCGATCGGCGGGCCGTGGGGACCCCTTCCGCCGCGGCCTCCGCCGCCGAAACCACCGCCACCCCCGTGACCGAGAACTGCGCAGGCAGCGCAAGAAAAAAACAGATCAGATGTTGCAAGTTGACGCGTTAAGATCGTAATGACACATTGACACCCGAAGTAACGCGTCTGACATTCAAGGAAAGGGAGCGCCGGCCAACTACTTTAATTCAAACAAGGAAGGCTGGGAAGTCGGCGTCCACTGGACCAATTTAGTAGACGAGTTTTTCTGAGCTACGAGCATACCAGGCGCGACGAAGAGCAGGACGAGGAGAGGGACAAGACCGGCGCGCGTCATCGTGTCTGACGATCGAAGCAAGTTACGCCAAGAACAGTCGATTTTCGAGGGAAGCTACGAGTGCAGGGCGTGTGTAAAAGGATGCTCAAATGCGTTCTGCTGGTGAATGAGGGAATGCGTGCAGGTATTTGTCCAGTAGACTTGAGAGCAATTCTCAGTTGGCGCACACACAGCCAAGGTCGCGCTGCGCAGAGCCTAGGCGGAAGTGTGAGGGGCAGACTGGTCAGACCACTGAACAGTGTGGGTCGCGGTCCGCGGAGACCAACCAACCCCAGGAAAGATTGGGAGGAATTTTCTTTCACAAAGAAGTCGTCGTTTTTCAGCACAGCAAGAACATCGTTTCGACATTCAGGCTCTGCCCGAAACAAGAGATTGTTTACGTACAACTCCTTTGAACCGATTGGTACCCTAGTATAAGTGTCAATTTGAATGTTCAATCCCCCAGCAATTTTCATCTTCAGGATTTGATGTGTAGATGTCGGGCAGGGAAACATTGACAAAACTACATCAACACAGCGCCGACAGTTTTTGACTGGTCAGAGGAAGGAATACCCCTGGTCATGTGGACAAGACAACCTGGCAACAACTGTCAGCTGACGACGAACGAGCGAACGTCAACGAGTTTCGCGAGTACTCTCGCGCGAGACGATTTCTGCATCACGACAGTAACACTGATGCAGTACGGAAGCATGTCTCGTCTCGTGTCTGGTCATCGATTTTCCCTTGTCGTGAGTACTGTAAGTATGTTCAGACGGGATTTCTGTTCATGCTCCAGGTTTGTTGGTTTGATCGCAGATGTTAATGCGCTTATATGCAGCCAGTCAGTGTTCAGCTGGTCATCGCACCTCCTAAGATGGTGATATGCTTTTCAATGATATGCTCGGTTTTGATTGCTCGTTAATTTATTTCTTGTTTGTTCAACCTGACGTATGTATGACTGTGCAAGACATGGTCTGACTGACCACCGGGCCTTTAGGGAAAGCACATTCCCAGTTGACAGCGATGGATAAGCTACTACCATATGATAGGACAACAACTTTCGTTTATTTTTCCTGTTGAACAAATCATGTTTATGCTGTCCCAATGGTTAAAACCGGGACTACCGGTATTACTGGCACTGGCAGCACTAACAGCCACAGCAGCATTGGAAGCAACAAGGGCTACACATTTCTCCTCTCCCTCCCCTCCTTCGTCGCTCCTCACCAAGCTCAAAAGCATTGCCTGCCATCACCATCGCCATCACCATCACCGTCACCATCACCATCCCCATCCCCATCCCCATCCCCATCATCAACCCTCCCATCATCCCCCTCCTCTGTGCCAAAGTACCTGTCTCCGAACTCCCCCATTCCTGTCTCTGAACTCCCCCATTTCTGTCTCCGAACTCCCCCATCCCTGTCTCCGAACTCCCCCATTCCTGTCTCCGAACTCCCCCATCCCTGTCTCCGAACTCCCCTATCCCTGTCTCTGAACTCCCCCATCCCTATCTCCGAACTCCCCCATCCCTGTCTCCGAACTCCCCCCTGTCTCCGAACTCCCCCATCCCTGTCTTCGAACTCCCCCATCCCCGTCTCCGAACTCCCCCATCCCTGTCTCCGAACTCCCCCATCCCTCTCTTCGAACTCCCCCATCCCTGTCTCCGAACTCCCCCATCCCTGTCTCCGAACTCCCCCATCCCTGTCTCCGAACTCCCCCATCCCTGTCTCCGAACTCCCCCCTGTCTCCGAACTCCCCCATCCCTGTCTCCGAAATCCCCCATCCCCGTCTCCGAACTCCCCCATCCCTGTCTCCGAACTCCCCCATCCCTGTCTCCGAACTCCCCCATCCCTGTCTCCGAACTCCCCTATCCCTGTCTCCGAACTCCCCCATCCCTGTCTCCGAACTCCCCCATCCCTGTCTCCGAACTCCCCCATCCCTGTCTCCGAACTCCCCCATCCCAGGGACAACTCTCAACTCCTCCTCAATCCCCGCAACAACCTCCCACCCCTCCCCACACATCAAGTCGCCTCAAAAGCGTCACCATCACCATCCCTCTCATCATCCCTCCCAGCATCCCCCTCCTCTGTACCAAAGTACCGGTCCCCAAACTCCCCCATTCCTGGCACCACTCTGTACACCTCGTTAATCCCGGAGTCGATTTCTGATGTCACGATCTTGAGGTGGGGGAAGCGGCGGCACACGTTGTAAATGCCCTCCGGGGCCTGAAGGAGGGGTTGGGTGGGGCACAGTGACAGGTAGAGGCGAGCAATGGATGGGCGGCGAGGGAAAAAAGACACAGGGATCGCAAGGTGAGGGAGGTGCTGACACCACTCTGCACTCCTCATTACTCCCCACGCCAAACCCCCACCCCTACCCTGCTCGATACTCCTCATTAAACCCCGAATCGATCTCCGATGTCACTATCTTGAGGTGGGGGAAGCGGCGGCAACGTGCAGCGAGGTTGTTTTTGAGACGTCTCAAAACCATTGTGAATGCCCTCAGGGGGCTGGGGGAGGGAAGGATGGGTGGGTGCAGGGAAGGCAGGAGAAAGAACAAAGATGAGTATGGACCTTGAGGTGGCGGAAGCGGCGGCACACATTGTGAATGCCCTCCGGGGGCTGGGGGAGGGAAGGATGGGTGGGTGCAGGGAAGGCAGGAGAAAGAACAAAGATGAGTATGGACCTTGAGGTGGCGGAAGCGGTGGCACACATTGTGAATGCCCTCCGGGGGCTGGGGGAGGGAAGGATGGGTGGGTGCAGGGAAGGCAGGAGAAAGAACAGAGATGAGTATGGACCTTGAGGTGGCGGAAGCGGCGGCACACATTGTGAATGCCCTCATGGGGCTGGGGGAGGGAAGGATGGGTGGGTGCAGGGAAGGCAGGAGAAAGAACAAAGATGAGTAAGGACCTTGAGGTGGCGGAAGCGGCGGCACACATTGTGAATGCCCTCCGGAGCCTTGGGGGGGGGGGAGGAGTGGTGGGGTGTAGGGAATGGAAGGGGCGCGAAGAGGAGGCGAGCAATGGAAGGGCAGAGAAAGAACAAGACACAGGGACGCTGAGGTGGGGGAAGCGGCGGCACACATTGTGAATGCCCTCCGGTGCCTGGCGGGAGGATGGAGGTTTGCAACAGGCGAAGGAGCAGAGAGAAGGGTGGGTGGGAGCAGGAAAGGTAAATGGGAAGGCATGGCGATCTTGAGGTGGTGGAAGCACCGACACACTTTGTGAATGCCCTCTTGGGCTTGGGGGAGGGAAGGATGGGTGCGAAGGAGCATGGGGGGGAAGGTAAGGTGAAAGATGGAACATGGTAATGAACTGATGAGGTGGTGGAAGCACCGACACACTTTGTGAATGCCCTCAGGGGCCTGGGGGAGGGAGGTTAGAGCAGGGAAGATAGAAAGGGAGCAGGTGTAAGGAATGTCCAAGATGATAACCCTCTTCACCACTAATTACCGCTCTGTAATTCGCTTATTACACTCACTGGTGAGGTTGAAGAACATACTTTGCTCGTCACGCACCCCTGCTTGCAGCAGCTGTGGTGAGCAAGAACCCAACTGGTTGTTCTCTTCACCACCAAGTACCGTTCTTAATCCCTTGAAGTCATGAGCTCACCGAGATGAGGTTGAGGAAAATGATTTGCTCGTCAGGCACCCTTCGGTTGCAGCAGCAGCTCGGATGAAGAATAACCCAGCTGATAATATCCTGCACCACTAAATACCGCTCTGCGCTCCTCATAAACTCACTGGAATGAGTTGAGGAATATGATTCGCTCCTCAAGAACCCCTCGGTGCAGTAGCGCCTGGGGTAGCGGCTCTCTGCACCACTGATTACCGCTCTGCACCCCTTCTAATCATGAACTCACCGAAATGAGGTTGAGGAAGATGATTCGCTCCTCAAGCACCCCTCGGTGCAGCAGCAGCTGGGGTAGCCGCTCTCAGCACCACTTATTACCACTCTGCCCCCCTTCTAATCATGAACTTACCGAGATGAGGTTGAGGAAGATGATTCGCTCCTCAGGCACCCCTCGGTGCAGCAGCAGCTCGATAGCCTTGATGGCAGAGCGGCCTGGTGGAGAGAGTACAGGGGGGGTAGGAGGCAAGGCAGAGGATGAAGAGGGTGACCACAATGGTTCATTGCACATCAAACACCCCTTGGTGCAGCAGCAGCTCGATAGCCTTGATGGCAGAGTGGCATGGTGGAGAGAGTACAGGGGGGGTAGGAGGCAAGGCAGAGGATGAAGAGGGTGACCACAATGGTTCAGTGCACATCAAACACCCCTCGGTGCAGCAGCAGCTCGATAGCCTTGATGGCAGAGCGGCCTGGTGGAGAGAGTACAGGGGGGGTAGGAGGCAAGGCAGAAGATGAAGAGGGTGACCACAATGGTTCAGTGCACATCAAACACCCCTCAGCAGTACCATTTTGTTGAGGTGTTGCTGTGCATGACAATTGCTGTTCAACTCCAAGGTTGGCAAGAAAAGAGCGGAAAGAGTTAGACATGTACTCTCCTCCACGATCAGAACGAAAAAATTTGACCTTGAGACCCAACTGACGCTCAATATAAGGAAACCAGGACTGGATAACACCGGGAGCTTCATCTTTAGATCCAAGAAGAGAGATCCAAGCAAATTTTGTATGATGGTCAATGAGTGACATTACATATCTTTTCCCAGTACGACTTGGTGTACGGGAAGGACCCATCAGGTCACTATGAATGAGCTCAAGCGGTTGAGAGACTTCAGACTCAGAAGAATAGAAAGGATGACGAGGAAGCTTAGCCTCAACACAAGTATGGCACAATGACTGAGATGATGACAACTGCTTGGAGATGATAAGACCATCAACACTTGCATGTGCTTGCATGCGTGTGATGCTAGACTCTTCAGGGTGACCGTAACGACAATGCCAGGTGTAAGGAGATGCAGATGTACCAAGATGAAGTCTTACTGAGGTGGTGGTAGCAGCAACTGAGGGACTGCTGTAGGGATTGGCAGGTGGCTGTGCATCAATCTCCACTCGATAGAGACGTCCATTACGAACACCTCTTGCAATGTGATCCCCAGTTGGAGCACGAACCTGCACAGAACCATCTGAGAAAGAGATGGAAATACCTTTCTCTTCCATTTGACCAATTGAGAGAAGGTTCGCCCCTAGTGAGGGGACAAGTAAAATGCCTGAGAATGAATGGGTCCCAAATAAGCCATCCCTTGCTGTTTTGAGCCATGCCCAAGTGCACGGCCCACACCGCCTTGGCACCAAGCTTGTTGTGCCGAAGATGCTTAGGCACGAGCGCCATGCACATGCACCCGAACACCCGAAGCATATCCACATTTGGCTTCCTTCCTAGCCACTCCACATAGGGCACCCATTTGTCTGCTCCCACATGAGTCAAGGCTCGGTTCTTGGCCACACACGCGCTCCGCACCGCATCAGGCCAGAAATAGTCGGGTAGCCCGGCTTCAATGAGCAACCCGCGTGCCGCCTCCGTGATTGTGCGGTTCGCTCGCTCGGCGATGCCGTTCATTGCAGGGGAGTATGGCATGGTGAGGGAGTGCCGAATACCATTCTTCTTCAGCCACAACCCAAACTCCTTGCTCAGGAACTCTCCCCCTCGATCGGTGCGGATTGACTTGACTAGACGGTCTTGTTGCCGCTCCACCATCGGGAACCAATCCGCCTTCAACGTTTCAGCCACGTCGCTCTTCTTGGCCAGCACGTACACCCAAGTTATACGGGTGTAGACGTCCACGAAGGGTCTCGAAATAGTGTGGTGTAGGCCCTAGTGAAGGGTAGTTTCGAGACCCTTCGTGGTTGGGGACAGTGTGGCACTGTTCCACATCACTGTACCTCGGCTCTTGGGGTTTGTAGGAGCTGGGAGTCATTCCCAACTCGTAACTCTTCATATCTCTTCCTATTTTGTGTTCTAAGACTATAGTGGCTGCCATAGTGCCGTTCGTTCAAACCAACACTGTGTCGTCAATACTTGGTGAAATTGTGCGATCTAAAATGCCTATTGTAGGCGACGTTTAGACGCTCCAGATCCAAGTTGAATCAGGTCATTTGCAGTTGTGACCAGAACGCTATGAACGTTTGAAGCCGCTGTGCAGAAATCCGGCTGCGCACTCTATCTTTCGTTTTCGGCACATTGGAGCCTATTGTAACTATAACAATCCACTCTCTTACGCTCTCATTCCCTCTCACCCACACTCATATGCTCTCATTCCCTTTCACCCACAATCATATACTCTCATTCCCTCTCACCCACTCTCATATGCTCTCATTCCCTCTAACCCACTCTCATACGCTCTCATTCCCTCTCGCCCACTCTTATACGCTCTCATTCCCTCTCACCCACTCTCATACTCTCTCATACGCTCTCATCCACAATCATACGCTCTCATTCCCTCTCACTCACTCTCATACTCTCTCATTCCCTCTCACCCACTCTCATACTCTCTCACACGCTCTCATCCACTCTCATCCACTCTCATCCGCTCTCAACCCCTCCCATCCCCTCTCATCCCCTCTCATCCCCTCTCACACACTCTCATTACCTCTCACCCACTCTCATACGCTCTCATTCCCTCTCACCCACTCTCATACGCTCTCATTCCCTCTCACCCACTCTCATACGCTCTCATTCCCTCTCACCCACTCTCATACGCTCTCATTCCCTCTCACCCACTCTCATACGCTCTCATTCCCTCTCACCCACTCTCATACGCTCTCATTCCCTCTCACCCACTCGCATACGCTCTCATTCCCTCTCACCCACTCTCATACGCTCTCATTCCCTCTCACCCACACTCATCAGCTCTCATTCCCTCTCACCCACTCTCATACCCTCTCATTCCCTCTCATCCACTCTGTTACGCTCTCATTCCCTCTCACCCACTCTCATACGCTCTCATTCCCTCCCACCCACACTCATACGCTCTCATTCCCTCTCACCCACACTCATATGCTCTCATTCCCACTCACCCACTCTCACACCCTCTCAGTCCCTCTCACCCACTCTCATACGCTCTCATTCCCTCTCACCCACTCTCATACGCTCTCATTCCCTCTCACCCACTCTCATACGCTCTCATTCCCTCTCACCCACTCTCATACGCTCTCATTCCCTCTCACCCACTCCCATACGCTCTCATTTTCTCTCACCCACTCTCATACGCTCTCATTCCCTCTCACCCACTCTCATATGCTCTTATTCCCTCTCACCCACTCTCATACGCTCTCATTCCCTCTCACCCACTCTCATACGCTCTCATTCCCTCTCACCCACTCTCATATGCTCTCATTCCCTCTTACCCACTCTCATACGCTCTCATTCCCTCTCACCCACTCTCATACGCTTTCACTCCCTCTCACCCACTCTCATACCCTCTCATTCCCTCTCACCCACTCTCATACGCTCTCATTCCCTCTCACCCACTCTCATATGCTCTCATTCCCTCTCACCCACTCTCATACGCTCTCATTCCCTCTCACCCACTCCCATACGCTCTCATTCCCTCTCACCCACTCTCATACGCTCTCATTCCCTCTCACCCACTCTCATGCGCTCTCACTCCCTCTCACCCACTCTCATACCCTCTCATTCCCTCTCACTCACGCTCTCATTCCCTCTCACCCACTCCCATACGCTCTCATTCCCTCTCACCCACTCTTATACGCTCTCATTCCCTCTCACCCACTCTCATACGCTCTCATTCCCTCTCACCCACTCTCATACCCTATCATTCCCTCTCACCCACTCTCATACGCTCTCATTCCCTCTCACCCGCTCTCATACGCTCTTATTCCCTCTCACCCACTCTCATACGCTCTCATTCCCTCTCACCCACTCCCATACGCTCTCATTCCCTCTCACCCACTCTCATACGCTCTCATTCCCTCTCACCCACTCTCATATGCTCTTATTCCCTCTCACCCACTCTCATACGCTCTCATTCCCTCTCACCCACTCTCATACGCTCTCATTCCCTCTCACCCACTCTCATACGCTCTCATTCCCTCTTACCCACTCTCATACGCTCTCATTCCCTCTCACCCACTCTCATACGCTCTCACTCCCTCTCACCCACTCTCATACCCTCTCATTCCCTCTCACCCACTCTCATACGCTCTCATTCCCTCTCACCCACTCTCATACGCTCTCATTCCCTCTCACCCACTCTCATACGCTCTC